TGGGTTCCACCGAACCCAGCTCTGGGTTCCACCGAACCCAGAACCCAACTCCACTTTTTTTTTTTATTTTGGTTTATATGATTGTTTGCCGTGAGAGATTTTTGGGTAACTAGTTTCTTTTTCTGTTATATGATTGTTTGTCAAGAGATTTTCAAATTGCAGGTTGTTGCGAGAGATTCTTGGATAGTTGAGTTTAATGAATCGAGCTGCGTTCTGTCGAACTTTAATCTTGAAAATGAAAAGAACACCTTGTCAAATTTCAATTTTGAAAATGGAAAAAACACCAGCAAATCTTGAAAGTGAAAAAAACACCAGAAAGAATAGAAACAGTAACCGATGGCCAAAGGAGCAATTGGTAGTGGTGATGTGGGACCCATTGGATGGATTTGGTGCATTTTTGCCAGGTAGCATGTGACATGGCAAAAGTTGCATGCATGTCATCACTTTTTTAAGTTTTGCTTACCACGTCATCAAAAAAAATATAAAAAATGCCAACTCAGCAGGGTTAACGGCTAAAATTAACAGAAGGACTAACGGAGTGCATTTCGTATAGTTGAGGGATCAAAAAAGTGCAAAAAATTCTCAAGGGACCAAAAATGTGCAAACCACTAAAGTTGAGGGACCAAAATGAGCATTTAACCTTACTTTTTTGAATCATTTTGTATGTACAATGACCTATATATAAGTGTTTATAAAGAAAATATTTTAAGATATAAAGTATATAAATGAAATATTCTAAAGTATAAAATATTTACAATAATTCTAAACATAATTGTATTCACATTTTAATATCTCCCCTCAAATTCAAGGTGGTTGTGATGAAACCAACTTGAGTTTGGAAAGAAGAGTACGAAAGCGTCTAGAAAAATAAGCCTTGGTAAAGAGATCTACCGGTTGATCAGCGGAGCCAATGAAAACCAAACAAATAGTTCCTTGTGCAATATGATGACGAATAAAGTGACAATCAACCTTAATGTGTTTAGTGCGTTCATAAAAAACATCATTATGAGCAATCTGCATAGCACTTTGATTATCACAATATAAATCAGTAGAAGAAGGTTGGGGAATGCCCATATCTTCAAGAAGCCACTGCAATGAAAGAAGTTCTGATGTGGTATCCCCGAGAGCTCTTCATTTATGTTTAGAATTATTGTTCTATCACTTGTTTGGCAACCATAGCAGTAGCATGATGAGTTACAATCCTTTTAAAACTCGTCATAGAATTAGTAAACTCACAATACTAAAAAACTCTAAAAATATGAAAAAATAGATGCCAATATCGAAATAACAAACCAACAAAATACCTCAAAAAGGACTTGAGAATCAAGGATAAAGAATTCAATCTATAAGAGAAGAGATCCCAACAACAAAATTTCAGATCTAAAATGGAATTGAAAATCCAACTAAAAAAAAAACCCAACAGCGATGATAAGAGAGAAGAACCAGGAGCTTATAACTCTAATACCATGTTAGAAAAACATAAAACAAGAATAATTTGAAGAAAGGTTTATTGCTTTCTTGAATCATTTTGTATGTACAATGACATATATATAGGTGTTTACAAAGAGAATATTTTAAAGTATAAAATATATAAAGAGAATATTTTAAAATATAAAATATTTATAATAATTCTAAACATAATTGTGTTTACGTCTTAATACCTGCTATGAAAACGGCATGTTTGTTTTTTAAATTGATTTTCTAAAAAATGGGGAAAACATTTTCTGAATTTAAAAGCTTGAATTCAAAAATTTTAATTGCTCTGTTTTATTATTTTTTGAAGAAATTTTTTAAACTTTTTTTTTTTAATTAATACAGCTTCCCGGAAGAACTGATAACGAAATAAAAAATTTCTGGAACACCAGAGTGAAGCGGCGGCAGCGCCAAGGCCTCCCCCTTTCTCCTCCGGACATCCAACCCCTTAACCACCACCAGTTGTCGTCGCCACTGCAGAACCAACATTTTCCCCATTACCAAACACATTCAGAGACCGCCACACCCATCTCCTCCGCCCCAACTACACCACCGCTTTCTCTTTCCAAACAACACCGACCCTTCACGTCCCCACCACCCCAACGCCGCCGTCTCTCCATAGCCCACACTGCACAACTCCGACCACTCTCAACAGCCCACACCACACAACCACCGCTATGCTTCTCAGCCCAACCCCGCCGAACGCCACTCCGCTGCCCTCCCCGCACACCCCTGTTTACCCAACTCTCCCTCTCTTTGATTCCTCCGCCTCCGCATCCAACCCTTCCACCCTTCCACCTCCACCACTAATTCCAACTTCTTCTCACCCAGAACCCCGCCTTTCCTCCAGACCCCTCCTCGATTCAAGCGTTTTCACCGTCAACTCGACTGCGAGAATAGCAACAACAATAGCTTTAATTTTAACCCTGGCAATAGCACCGCCACCAGCGACTTAACCACCTCCAGCTTTGCCTTCCCCTTTTCGCCTTTGTTGAGAAGCTCTCCTTTTGGACATACCACTGCCACCACTTTAATGCCCATCTCCACACACTATCCTTCCTTTACCTTGAAACCATTTTGTTTCGATCCATCTACATCATTAAGAACAGTTGGTTCCCATTTGGATTTGGGACAACTCGCCTCTATTCCCGACTATGTATATCCGTTGAGAACGGAGCTCCCTTCAAGCCAATTTTTGTTTCAAGACAGTAATCCAGGGATTACATTCAGTTATAGGGTAAACGATGGCAATGGTGGTGACATTAACAGCATTAACGAGTATCAAAATTTGGGCGAGTCCAGTGGTGGAAGCGGATTGTTATAGGATTTGTTGGAGGAGGCTCAAGCAATGGTAGGCAGCAGCAACGGTTTTGGGAGGCAGACTTGCTTCAGCTCGCAAGAGGAGAAGCAAGTCCTGGATGGGTTCAGCCCTTGGGGAGATTCAAGCTCTGTGGGTGTACGTAATCCCAGCTAGCTACCCCAAGCCAATTCCTAAGATATAAAACTCATTCTTTTCCTTTATAAAAACTTGAATGAAGTTTTCAATATATATATGTATAATATGTTATGCAAAATAAAACAAAGATCAATTGCAATCTTGCAAATAAAGTGCAGAAAAATAAAAAGAAAGGGAAGAGAATATCAAACTATGATTTATAGTGGTTCCTCCAACCCGGAGTACGTCCACTCCCCAAGCCTCCTTGCTCGAAAGTTCAATCCACTAAAAATCTCTTGCTTACGGGTGCAAGATTAAACCCGAACAACCTCTTGCTTGCGGGTACAAGATTAAACCCTCACAAGTGAATCTCAACTCACTCAACCCCCTTCAAGGATTAACCCAATCCAAGAAGAATACAAAACCCTTGTAAGACAATATACCCAAAAGCTCACAAGAAGAAGAAGAAGGAAACCCAGAACTGTTTCAAACTCTGTTTTTCTGTAGCAGTTCGTCCTTCTTCATTATCTCCAGATCTGATTTTTGGTGTTTTAATAATTGGTTGGGAGCCTTGCCATTAATTGCCCATTTAGACCTTCTAAGCCACCTCACAATTGCCCCAATTAGGTTCCACCTTATTCTTCTGACTTGTCTTGGAAAGTGCTAAGACATTTAGATACCCTATGACCCATTAAAAGTAAACAGATAGTTGAGCTATCAAAATTTAACTTTTCAAAATTTTTGCTTCGAAGCCAGAAATATTGCTTTGAACCATTTTCGGAAAACAAAAGTCCGAGATTGATTCGAACCAAAATAAATTGGTTCGAACCCAGAATTCTGAACAAGGAGGAACATGAATTAATTCTAATCGTGGGGAGAGATTAGAAACCTTGAATTAATTTTCCTGCACACTTAGCACAAAAATAGATTAAACTCTTTTGAATCATAGTTTTAAATCATCATCAAAATACAAAGAGAACCTAACAGTGGGTAATCTATTCACATTTTCTTAAAATGAAGGTGCATTGATTCATTAATTATATTAGCAATTCTTCATGTGTTCTCGTGAATTAGATACATACGATGATCTTGCCTCAAATTAAATGCATGAAAGTTTGAAACTTGAGCATAATCTAGCATTGAAATCATGAATCATACACTGCATACAAGCAATTGAATGAATAAACTTATCAACGAGCAATATTTTTCCTTCTATAATTTAGTAACTCTTAACATCCTAGTCTTAGTATGGACATTGAGCCTTTTCATTGTCAACCTTTTTTTTAGCATTTTTTCAGATATTAAGACTTTATTGCTAGAGTGTAAATGTGGCTACCCTTGTTTCCATCCTTGTATCACTTCTCGATGATTTGCAGTCTACATCATCCATCCTTTTAGAGTTTTGCCTTAAGAACCATTAATTAATGCTGAGATCTTTTTTTGGGTTGATATCAACATTTCCTAAATATAGATCTTGGTAAGGAGTAGGGACAATCTTTTTTACATTGACAAAGAAATCGAGGAGTCCTTGATGTTTAGTTGTTCTGATTTGAACTATTAAATACCCCTTTACTTCATCTTAATGCTTCCTCCTTTTGATAATGTATAGTATTGAGACCAAAGGAAGAAACCGCAGACCAGATGCAAACTGCACATGAAGACTTGTCACAGCAGGACAATGATATCCCTTCTCCCATGCAAGTTCATGAGTGGTACACCGGGGATGGTAGGGAGGCCTCAAACGGGTAATCTTCCGTAGTGACGGACGATAATCTTGGGCTCGATATGCATCAATTAGCATCTCTATGTCCCATGGACACCACAGCTGACCATGGAAGGGTCCCTAGCTGGGACAACTTCCCTGGAATTCGCTGACATGCACAACTCATGTAAACAGAAAAGGTGGATGGGCTTTGCATTTTGTTCTGTCTTTGCTGATATATATGATTTTTTTTGTATTTGGTTTGATTGTATATTCTGTAATAAAGATAATAAAATAAGAATCCTGATGAGAACACATTATTCTTGCCCAAAATGATTATAACTTTTTTTCTTTTAGGATCTTAAGAACGCACTTTTATGTTAACTTAATGTATTTAAAGAAATTAATTTTTTTAAGTAATTTGAATCCGAGATCTAACCTATAAAGCGATATTCACTTACTAATGAATCCAACTGATAGTTTTCTATGATATCCTTGCTCTAAAATGATATCCTTGCTCCAAAATGCATCTTGAGGTACAAGAAGAAGCAGAAGCCAACAAGAGCGATTGTGCAAGTACTGGGCCTGGGTGAATTAGCATATCTTCGACTTCACGGATGAGACTTGAGAGAGGATGTGGATATTAAGATTGGGCTTTACTTCGGCCCTATAAGAGAATCCGCTCTGCGGATTGAAATAAAAAATAAATAAAATAGAGTAAAATAATCGAAACGTCACTTCCACTCTCCACTCTCCTCTCTCCTCACCTTCCCGCTCTCATTTCCTTTCACCCTTTCGTTGTTCCTGCATTCGGCATCAGTGGGAGGGCTGGACGGCATCGGTTGAGGCTCTAGTTACGGTGCAGCCGCGCCGATCCAACTTTGGGGCCAAGAAATTTGGAAAGCGCTCTTTTTTCACGACGCGTTTTTAGCCGGATCCGGCGCCGTCGCTCTTTGGATTGACGCTCCCATGGTGGCGAACGGTGCCTCGAGGACAGATCCGGCACTGTGACGAGTAGGATCGGTCTCCTACGGCGTCGACCGGTGCCTGGAGAAAAGATCCTGTCTCCTTGACGTGCTTATCACTTTAGGCTCCGATTGACTCTTCCATGATGACTACCGTTGAACTGGAAGATAGATCCGGCGTCGTGCGAAATCTGATACAAATAGAGCGCCGAAGTGGCGCTATGTTTCCTACTATTACACAGCGGCCATCATTGTTCTACTGGCCAACCGGTGTTTCTAGGAGGCAGTGGCCGTACCGCTGTACCTTTGATCTGCGGCATCCGTCCTTTTGAATTTTAAAGGGAGGGCATGCACTCAGAATTCAAACCACAATGAGGCGTTTTGGAGGTTCTGGCACCTAGGTAGAGTTCATACGGAGAGGTAATTCGTTAATCTTTATATTTTTCTTTTATGCTTTCAAAGAGGCAAGATTCTATCTCTTTGACACATGTTTGGGAACTACTTTAGTTAAAAGACTATCATTCTCTATACTATGAGAAGAAATTGATGACTGCTTAGTGACTAAAGCATGAAAATGTATATTTCAAGTGCGTCTAATCATTGATATTGGTGGAATTATGGGCTTAAGAGTTATATTTTTCTACAAATAATTTCATAAATGTTTATTCTATTCATGTTGTGCAAATTTTTTATGATTGAAGATTTGATAATTAAATGGAGAGAATTAGAAGAAAAGAACTTAAATGCAAAGAACCAGAAAGATGAGGGTCCAAGGATTAAATTTAAAAGTTTAAAAACTCAAGTGGGATTTTCTCCATTTTTGATTATGATGTAAGTTTGTGAAGTTGACGCGTTAATGAGGTGTTGGAACTGTTTTCAAGTTCCAACCCTTGGCCTATGGAAAAGGATAGACAGTAGCATGAGGGGTTCCGCACTCTATGATTAGTATCCAATCCCTGGTTAGTTATACACAAAAATAGAAACATGCAGGGCTCTGCACCTTGCGATTTCAACCCTGTCTAACAAGATTGTGCAAGAAGAAAGAAGAAAATAAAATTAATTCCCCAGGGCTGCTAGTTTAGTTAGGAGCCTTTAAAACTAGGTTTAGTTTTGAGAGAAGTTATTCTTAGGCACATATTTTCTTCTTTTCTAGTGCTAGAGAATTATGTTAAGATAGGCTAGAGAGGATCTTAATTGAGGAGTTTAGCTTGTTATTTTATTTTGATTCCTTTATAGTTTTTATTTTTTAATTTTATTTTTGAGAGATTATTAATTATTTTCAGATTTGAAAACTCTACAAAGTGTCAACTGCTTACCATCCACAAACTAATGGGTAAGCTGAGTTAGCCAATAGA